ATGGATGGATAGATGGATGGTAGATGGATGGATGGATGAATGGATGGATAGGTGGATGGATGGATGATATGATGGATGGATAGATGGCTGGATGGATGAGTGGATCATGGATGGATGGATGGATGGATGGATGGATGATGGTTGGATGGGTTGATGATGGATAGGTGGATGGATGGATGGGTGGGTCATGGATGGGTGGATGGATGGATGGATGGATGGATGGATGGGTGGGTGGGTCATGGATGGATGGGTGGATGGATCATGGATAGGTGGATGATGGATGGATGGATGGATGGAGGGATGGATCATGGATGGATGGATGGATGGGTGGATGGATGGTTGTTTGGATGGATGGATGGATCATGGATGGATGAATGGATGATGGTTGGTTGGATGGTTGGATCATGGATAGGTGGATGATGGTTGGTTGGATGGGATGGATGGATGGATGGATGTGTGGATGGATGGGTGGATGGATGGATGGATGGATGGATCATGGATGGATGGATGGGTGGATGGATGGATGGATGGATGGATGATGGTTGTTTGGATGGATGGATGGATGGATGGATAGATGAGTAGATAGATAGATAGATAGAGTAGATAGATAGTGATCATGAATGAGATGGATAGATAGATAGGTAGATAGATAGGTAGATAGATAGATAGATAGATAGATCATAGATAGATAGATGGATAGATAGATAGATAGATGGGTGAGATGATAGATTGATTTAGATAGATGAATGAATCATAGATGAATAGGTAGATAGATAGATAGATAGATCATAGATGAATGTCTGGTGAATAGATAGATGTTTAGATAGATAGTTAGATGATAGATAGATAGATAGATAGATAGATAGATAGATAGGATGGAATAGCATAGATAGATAGATGGATGGATGGGTGGATGGATGGGTCATGGATGGATGGATCATGGATGATGGCTGGATGATGGTTGGTTGGATGGTTGGATGGTGTTTGGATGACGATTGGATGGTTAGATGATGGTTGGATGATGTTGGATCATGGATGACAGTTGGATGACGGTTGGATGACAATTGGATGGTTGGATGACGCTGCTGATGGACAAACCCGTGCAGTTTCCGGGTGAAGGGACACCGGGACACTTTGAGGGACAGGAGGACGACCCCAATGGGGCCGACCCCTCCCCCCTCCACGACCCTCCCCCTCCTCCTCCTCCTCTCCCTCCCAGGGCCAAGCGGAAGGCGGGGGGGGGTGACCCCACGGAGAAGATCGCCCTCCAGCCCCAGGACACGACCCCCCAGAAGGAGGCCTGAGGGACCCCTGACCAGCACCCCCCTCCCCACCCTGGGGGTCCCCAAAGCTCAGCGGGGTCGGTGGGGGGGACTCGACCACGGTTTTGGGGACCCCCCCCAACCCCCCGTGGGGAGGGGACGTCGGGGGAGGAATAAAGAGCTCTGGAGGGGACACGTCTTGGGTGATCTCTGAGCCCCCACGATGGCCACCACTGACCCAGTGACCACCCCTGGGGTGGGACAATGGCCACAAAGTGTCCCCAGGGCCACCTGTGCCAGGGAGACACCCAAACCACCTCTGAGGTGGGACAATGGCCACCAACTGTCCCCAGGGCCACCTGTGCCAGGGTGACACCAGAAACCACCCCTGGGGTCACCCCTGATGGGACAATGGCCACCAACTGTCCCCAGGGCCACCTGTGCCAGGGTGACACCAGAAACCACCCCCGGGGTGGGACAATGGCCACAAAGTGTCCCCAGGGCCACCTGTGCCAGGGTGACACCCAATGACCACCTCTGAGGTCACCCCCAAGGGGACAATGGCCACAAACTGTCCCCAGGGCCACCTGTGCCAGGGTGACACCCAGTGACCACCCCTGGGGTGGGACAATGGCCACAAAGTGTCCCCAGGGCCACCTGTGCCAGGGTGACACCAGAAACCACCTCTGGGGTGGGACAATGGCCACAAACTGTCCCCAGGGCCACCTGTGCCAGGGTGACACCAGAAACCACCCCCGGGGTGGGACAATGGCCACAAACTGTCCCCAGGGCCACCTCTGGGGTCACCCCTGATGGGACAATGGCCACAAACTGTCCCCAGGGCCACCTGTGCCAGGGTGACACCAGAAACCACCCCTGGGGTCACCCCTGATGGGACAACGGCCACAAAGTGTCCCCAGGGCCACCTGTGCCAGGGTGACACCAGAAACCACCCCTGGGGTCACCCCTGATGGGACAATGGCCACCAAGTGTCCCCAGGGCCACCTGTGCCAGGGTGACACCAGAAACCACCTCTGGGGTCACCCCGATGGGACAATGGCCACAAAGTGTCCCCAGGGCCACCTGTGCCAGGGTGACACCAGAAACCACCTCTGGGGTGGGACAATGGTCATCAACTGTCCCCAGGGCCACCTGTGCCAGGGTGACACCAGAAACCACCTCTGGGGTCACCCCTGATGGGACAATGGCCACAAACTGTCCCCAGGGCCACAAACTGTCCCCAGGGCCACCTGTGCCAGGGTGACACCAGAAACCACCCCCGGGGTCCCCCCCAAAGGGGTGATGTCCCCAAATGGTGTCCCCGAGGTCCCCCCCACCCAGGTGCCACCCAAGACCCTCCAAGAGCCCCAACCCCCCCTTTCCCAGCAGAGGAACCCCCCCAAAAAACCCAAAATAGATTGGGGAACCCCAGGAGCCCCAAATTTCCCCCTGTCCCCTCCCCACCCCTGTGTCCCCTCCCCACCCCCTGTCCCCGATTGCCCCCGTGTCCCTTGACCCCATCAACCTCCCCCTCCCTCCCCAGGGCTCGGCCCCATCAAAATTAACCCCCCCCAGGGTGGGGAATTCGCTGACCCAGCCGAGGCCACCCCGGGCAGCACCTTTGGGTGCCCCTCCTGACCCCCCAAAGTGCTAAAATTTAACCCAAAGTTCCTGGGTGGGGACCCCGGGGCGGGGGAGGGGTGGAGAGGTCCCCTGGGTGAGCAAAATCTGCTCCCTGCACGGCTTTTTCCACTCAAAAAACACCAAAAAACCTCAATAGTTAAGGAAAAAATCCCCAATTATTAAGGAAAAAAAACCACCAATGATTAAGGAAAAAAACCCCAATAATTAAGGAAAAAAACCCCCAATAATTAAGGAAAAAAACCACCAATAATTAAGGAAAAAAACCCCAATAATTAAGGAAAAAAAACCCCAATAATTAAGGAAAAAAAGAACCCCAATAATTAAGGAAAAAAACTCCAATAATTAAGGAAAAAAACCCCAATAATTAGGGGAAAAACCCCCAATAATTAAGGAAAAACAATCACACAATAATTAAGGAAACAAAACCCCAATAATTAAGGAAAAAATCCCCAATAATTAAGGAAACAAAAAACCCCAATAATTAAGGAAAAAAGCCACCAATAATTAAGGAAACAAAAAAACCCCAATAATTAAGGAAAAAAACCCCCAATAATTAAGGAAACAAAAAACCCCCAATAATAAAGGAAACAACAACAACAAAAAGTAATTAATTAAAGAAACAAATTAACGATTAATCAAGGAGACAAATTAATTAAAATTATTTCGATAAAATTAATTGATTGAAAATAAAATTAAAATTTAAAAATAAAATTAATTATATAGAAATTAATCATTTAAGGAAACAAATGAACGGTTCCTTCAGTCCCGGCCCCCCCAAATCGCCCCTGGTTACGTTCCCTTTTGTGGAGTGATTTTTGCCTCTTTTTTTGCTTGTTTTTTGTGTTTTGTTTGTTTATTTTTTGTTTTTGGTTTGGTTTGCTTGGTTGGTTTTTCCCTCCATTTTTTTTTGGGTTTTTTTTGGTTTTTTTCCCCCCTCTTTTTTTCTTTTTTTCTTTTTGTTTTTTGTTTGGTTTTTTGTTTGTTTGTTTTTGTGGGGGTTTTGTGGTTTTTGTTTTGTTTTTGTTTTTTGTGTTTAGTTGGTTGGTTGTTTTTCCCTCCATTTTTGTTTGTTTTGTTTTCTGTTTTCCCCTTTCTTTTCTTTTTTTTGTTTTCCTCTCTCTTTATTTCTTTTATTTGTTTGTTTATTTTGGTGGTTTTTGTGGTGTTTTTGTGTTTGGGTTTTGTGGGTTTTTTGGTTTTGTCTGTTTGTTTTTTGGTGTTTTTTTCTTGTTTTTGTGTTTTTTGTGGTTTTTTTTCTGTGTTCCATCTCTACCCTTTCACCTGGAAAAACCCCAAAAATTCAACAACAACAACAACAACAACAAAACCCACCTCTGGTTTGGGGACGACCCCCATCAACCATTAACCCACAACCAGCGGGTGGGGCTATCCAGAGACCACCCCCCACCCACCCCCCACCCAGGGGGGCACCACGAGGGGCAGAGATTTGGGGAGAGAACCCCCCGAGGGGTGAGGGGGAGTTTGAGGGGCAGAGATTTGTGGGGAGAGAACTCCCGATGGAGGTGAGGGGGCTTTGAGGGGCAGAGATTTGTGGGGAGAGAACCCCCAAGGGGTGAGGGGGACGAGGGTGGGCGATCCCTACCTGGTCGGGGGGAGGGATTTGGGGAGAGAACCCCCCGAGGGGTGAGAAGGACGAAGGTGGGCGATCCCTGCCTGGCTGGAGGGGGGGTTTTGAGGGGCAGAGATTTGGGGAGAGAACCCCCCAAGGGGTGAGGAGGACGAGGGTGGGCGATCCCTGCCTGGCCAGGGGGGGGTTTGAGGGGCAGAGATTTGGGGGAGAGAGGGGTGACAAGGACGAGGGTGGGCGATCCCTGCCTGGCCAGGGTTGAGGGAGGTTTGAGGGCAGGGTGGGATGGGGGAGGGAACCCCCAAGGGGATGAGGAGGACGAGGGTGAGGCAATCCCTGCCTGGCCAGGGGGCTTTGAGGGCAGATTTGGAGAGAGGTAGGAGGAGAACCCCCGAGGGTGACAAAGGACGAGGGTGGAGGCGATCCACTGCCGGGTCAGGGAGGATCTAGGGGAGGAGAGGGTCTCCTGCGGAGGGAGAACTCGGGGTGAGGGGGACGAGGGTGAGCAATCCCTGCCTGGCCAGGGGGTGAGGGGGGGTTTTTCCCTCTCTGGGGTGGGGGTCGATGGCGTTCTCCGACCTCCTGGAGCGGACGGGGGGCGCGGGGCGCTTCCAGGCGCTGTCGGTGCTGCTGCTGTCGCTGCCGGTGCTGCTGATGGCGAGCCACAACCTGCTGCAGAACTTCACGGCCGCCACGGCCCCGCACCGCTGCCGCCTGCCCGGTGAGCCCGACAACGGCACCAGCGGTGCCACCGCAGCCCCGGAGCTGCTCAGGGCCTGGCTGCCCCACGGGGAATCCTGCCGGCGATTCCTCCAGCCCCAGTGGGCGCTCCTGGAGGAGCCTGGCAATGCCACGGGGGCCATCGACGGCAATGGCACCGACACCGACAACGGCACCGGCACCGACAACGGCACCGCCACCCCGGAGACCGAGCCGTGCCGGGACGGGTGGATCTACGATCGCAGCGTCTTCACCAGCACCATCGTCACTGAGGTGGGGGAATGGGGAGGGGGCGCTGGGAGGTTTTTGGGGGGTGTTGGAGGGGCGCTGAGGGTTTTGGGGGTGTTGGAGGGGGCGCTGGGAGGGTTTTTGGGGGTGCTGGGGGGCACTGGGAGGAGGAGGAGGGGCACTGGGAGGGTTTTTGGGGGTGTTGGAGGGGCGCTGGGAGGAGGAGGGAAAGGGGGCGCTGGGAGGGTTTTGGGGGTGCTGGAGGGGGCACTGGGAGGTTTTTGGGGGTGTTGGTGGGGGCGCTGGGAGGGTTTTGGACACCGAGCCGTGCCGGGATGGGTGGATCTAAGACCGCAGCGTCTTCACTCAGCACCATCGTCACTGAGGTGGGGAATGGGGAGAGGGGAAAGGGGGCACTGGGAGGGTTTTGGGGGGTGCTGGAGGGGGCACTGGGAGGGTTTTGGGGTGTTGAGGGGGCGCTGGGAGGGTTTTGACACCGAGCCGTGCCGGGACGGGTGGATCTAAGACAGAAGCGTCTTCACCAGCACCATCGTCACTGAGGTGGGGAATGGGGAGAGGGAGGAAAGGGGGCGCTGGGAGGTTTTGGGGGGTGCTGAGGGGGCACTGGGAGGAGGAGGGGAAAGGGGGCACTGGGAGGGTTTTGGGGTGTTGGAGGGGCACTGGGAGGGTTTTTGAGGGGGCACTGGGAGGTTTTGGGGGTGTTGGAGGGGCACTGGGAGGGTTTTTGGGGTGTTGGGGGCACTGGGAGGTTTTTGGGGTGTTGGAGGAGGCACTGGGAGGAGGAGGGGAAAGGGGGCACTGGGAGGGTTTCTGGGGGTGTTGGAGGGGGCACTGGGAGGTTTTTGGGGTGCTGGGGGGCGCTGGGAGGAGGAGGGAAGGGGGGCGCTGGGAGGGTTTTGGGGGTGCTGGAGGGGGCACTGGGAGATTTTGGGGTGCTGAGGGGCACTGGGAGATTTTTGGGGTGTTGGAGGAGGCGCTGGGAGGGTTTTTGGGGTGTTGGAGGGGCACTGGGAGGGTTTTTGGGGGTGCTGGAGGGGGTACTGGGAGGGTTTTGGGGGTGCTGAGGGGCACTGGGAGGAGGAGGGAAAGGGGGCACTGGGAGGTTTTTGGGGTGCTGGAGGGGCACTGGGAGGAGGAGGGGAAGGGAGGCACTGGGAGGGTTTTGGGGGTGCTGAGGGGGCACTGGGAGGCTTTTGGGAGTGCTGAGGGGGCACTGGGAGGGTTTTGGGGGTGTTGGAGGGGGCACTGGGAGGGTTTTGGGGGTGCTGGAGGGGGCGCTGGGAGGGTTTTGGGGGTGTTGAGGGGACGCTGGGAGGTTTTTGGGGGTGTTGAGGGGGCGCTGGGAGGTTTTTGGGGTGCTGAGGGGGCACTGGGAGGCTTTTGGGGGTGCTGGAGGGGGCACTGGGAGGAGGAGGGAAAGGGGGAGCACTGGGAGGGCTTTGGGGGTGTTGGAGGGGCACTGGGAGGGCTTTTGGGGGTGTTGAGGAGGCGCTGGGAGGGTTTTGGGGTGTTTGAGGGGCGTTGGGAGGGCTTGGACACTGAGCTGCATGCTGGACGGTGGATCTACGACGTGCTGCCTTCACTCAGCACCATCAGCCACTGAGGTGTGGGGAATGGGGAGAGGGGGAAAGGTGGAAAGCGAGCTGGGAGGGCTTTGGGGTGTTGGAGGGGGCGCTGGAGGGTTTTGGGGGGTGCTATGGCGTGGGAGGGTTTTGGACACCGAGCGTGCTGCCGGGACGGGTGGATCTACGACCGTGAGCTGTCTTCACCAGCACCATCGTCACTGAGGTGGGGATGGGGAGAGGGGAAAGAGGGGGGGCACTGGGAGGGTTTTTGGGGGTGCTGGAGGAGGCACTGGGAGTGGTTTTTGGGGGTGTTGGAGGGGGCACTGGGAGGGTTTTGGGGTGTTGGAGGGGCACTGGGAGGGTTTTGGGGGTGCTGAGGGCGCTGGGAGGAGGAGGGGAAAGGGGACCCTGGGAGGTTTTTGGGGTGTTGGAGGGGCACTGGAGGCTTTTTGGGGGTGCTGGAGGGGCCGCTGGGAGGTTTCTGGGGGTGTTGGAGCCTGTCGGGCCGATGCCGAGGCCGTGGGTTTGGTGTGGTCGAAGATGTTGATGCCTCCCGACGGGAGGGAGACCTCGAGGAGACCCTGGGGGTGGAGGAGGGGGATTGAGGGGCTAGGGCCACCAGGCAGGAGGGGTCATGAGGGGTCGGGGAACCCTTCCCACCTGCTGGGAGGGCCTTCCAACTGTGGAAAAGGTTTTGGTGGCTATAGGGTTTGGTGGCCAAGGTTGGCTTGGTAGGCCAAGGGGTTGATTTGGTGGCTCTTTCCACCCGACCCTCCACCATGGTCGGTCCCAGGGGTCAGGAGGGCAGGGGGTCCTGGGGCCAGGAGGGCAGGGGGTCCTGGGAATTCAGGAGGGCAGGGGGTCCTGGGGTCAGGAGGGCAGGGGGTCCTGGGGGTCAGGAGGGCAGGGGGTCCCAGGGGGAATTTGGGAGGCAGGGGGGTCCTGGGGGTCTGGGAGGGCAGGGGTCCCAGGGGGATCTGGGAGGGCAAGGGGGGTCAGTGGGGAGGGGTCGGGAGGACAGGGGGTCCCAGGGAGGGGTCAGGAGGGCAGGGGGTCCCAGGGAGGGTCATGGAGGACAGGGGGTCCCGGAGGGGGTCGGGATGACAGGGGTGGGTCCTGGGGAATTTGGGAGGGCAGGGGGTCCGGGGGTCAGAGGGCAGGAGGTCCTGGGGGTCAGGAGGGCATGGGTGGTCCCAGGGGAATTTGGGAGGGCAGGGGGTCCTGGGGGTCAGGAGGGCAGGGGTGTCCTGGGGGAATTCAGGAGGGCAGGGGTGGTCCTGGGGGGTCAGGAGGGCAGGGGGTCCTAGGGTGGGGCTGGAAGGGCAGGAGGGGGTCAGGAGTGCAGGGGGTCCTAGGGAATTTGGGAAGGCAGGGGGTCCCAGGGGGCTGGAAGGGCAGGGGGTCCCAGGGGCTGAAGGGCAGGGGGTCCTAGGGGGTCAGAGGGCAGGGGTCCCAGGGGTCAGGAGGGCAGGGGGGTCCTGGGAATTTGAGGCAGGGGGTCCCGAGGGGTCAGGAGGGCAGGGAGGGTCCTGGGGGTCAGGAGGGCAGGGGGTCCCAGGGGGTCAGGAGGGCAGGGGGTCCCGGGAGGGGTCAGGAGGACAGGGGGTCCTGGGGGTCAGGAGGGCAGGGGATCCCAGGAGGAATTCAGAGTGCAGGGGGATCCCTAGGGTCAGGAGGGCAGGGGGTCCTGGGGGTCAGGAGGGCAGGGGAGTCCTGGGGGATTTGGGAGGCAGGGGTCCCCAGGGGGTCAGGAGGGCAGAGAGGGGCCCCCCCTGGCACCGGTGCCAGCCCAGACCGTGTCCCCCCCCCAGTGGGACCTGGTGTGCAGCCGGGGGAAACTGAGGCAGCTGGCACAGTCTCTCTACATGGCCGGGGTCCTGGTGGGCGGCATCGTCTTTGGGGGGCTCTCCGACAGGTGAGGGCACCCCTGGGGGGTTTCATCCACTCTTCTTCCTCCTCCTCATCATCATCATCCTTTTTTCTTCCTCCTCCTCCTCAGCCTTCTTCCTCTTCTTCATCCCTTCATCCTCCTCCTCAACTTCTCCTCCTCTTCTTCCTCCCTTTTCCACCTCCTCAGCCCCCCTTTTCTCCTCCTCCTCCTCCTTCTCCTATTCCTTCTCCTTCTTCTTCTTCTTCTTCTCCTCCTTCTTCTTCTCCTTCTCCTGCTCCTTCTCCTTCTCCTTCTCCTCCTCTCCTCCTTCTCCTCCTCTCTCCTCCTTCTCCTTCTCCTTTTCCTCCTCCTTCTCCTTCTCCTTCTCCTCCTCCTTCTCCTTCTTCTTCTTCTTCTTCTCCTCCTTCTTCTTCTCCTTCTCTTTCTCCTTCTCCTCCTCTCTCTTCCTTCTCCTTCTCTTCTTCCTCCACTTCCTCCTCCTCCTCCTCACACCATCTCCCTCTTCTTCATCTCCTCCTCCTCTTCCTTCTCCTTCTCTTCCTCCTCCTCCTCCTCTTCCCCATTTCCTCCCCCCTCATTTCCCCCCATTTCCCCCCTATTTCCCCCCTATTTCCCCCATTTCCCTCCCAATTTCCCCTCATTTCCCCCATTTTCCTTCCCATTTCCCTCCCCATTCCCCCATTCCCTCCCCCATTTCCCCACTATCTCTCCCCATTCTCCCCATTTCCCTCCATTCTCCGCATTATTCCCCATTTCTTCCCCCATTATTCCCCATTTCCCCCATTTCTCCATTCCCTCATTCTCTCCCCATTTCATTTCCCCCATTCTCCCCCCATTATTCCCCCATTATTCCCCATTATTCCCATTTCCTCATTTCCTTCCCATTCCCCATTCTTTCCTCTCATTCCCCCATCATCCCCTCATTTCCCCCCCATTCTCCCTCCATTCCCCTCCCCATTTTCCCCCCATTCTCCCCTCATTTCCCCATTATTCCCCATTTCCCCATTATCCCCCCTATTTCCCCATTTCCTCCTCATTTCCCCCCATTATCCCCATTATTCCCCATTCCCATTTCCCTCCACTTTATTTCATTCTCCCCCATTATTCTCCTCTATTTCCATTATTCCCCCCATTTCCCCCCATTTCCCATTTCCCCTTCCCATTCCCCCCCATTCTTCCCAATTATCTCCCATTATCCCGCATTTCCTCTCCCATTCTTCCCCCATTCCCCCATTATCCCCCTCATTCCCCATTATTCCCCATTTCCCTCCCATTTCCCTCCCATTCCCCCCATTCCCTCCCCATTTCCCCCATTTCCCTCCCCATCCCCTTCATTCCCTCCCCCATTCTCCCATTATTCCCCCATTCCCCATTCCCCCGTTTTCCCATTATCCCCCCATTCCCCCATTTACCCCTCATTCCCTCATTATCCCCCATTTCCCCCCATTTCTCTCATTATTCTCCCCATTCCTCTCCCCATTCTTCCCCACTATCCCCCATTCTCCCCCCATTCTCCCCCCATTCTCTCCCCCCATTATTCCCCCGTTTCCCCCCCGTGTGACGTCTCTGGGTGTGCCCGCAGGTTCGGCCGCCGCTCGGTGCTCAGCTGGTGTTACCTTCAGTTGGGAGCCGCGGGCTCCTGCGCTGCCCTCGCCCCCTCCTTCTCCCTCTACTGCCTCTTCCGCTGCCTCTCGGGAGCCGCCTTCTCGGGCATCGTCCTCAACAGCGTCTCCCTCTGTAGGTGCCCCCCTCAAGAGCCCCCAAAACCCCAAAAAACCGGACCCTGAAACCCCAAAAATCCAGACCCCGAAACCCCAAAAGCCAGACCCCGAAACCCCAAAAAAACCGGACCCCTGAAACCCCAAAAATCCAGACCCCCGAAACCCCAAAAAACCCGGACCCCGAAGCCCCAAAAACCCGACCCCGAAACCCCGAAACTCCGGCACGCCAAAACCCTGGACCCCTAAACCCCTGACCTCCCCAAAACCCCCGACCCCCCAAAAGCCCAGCCCCTGAAATCCACTGGAAACCCCAAAACCCCGGACCCTGAAACCCCAAAAACCGGACCCCTGAAACCCCAAAAATCCGGACCCTGGAAATCCTGGACCCCAAAACCCTGAAACCCCAAAAACCCGGACCCCAAAGCCAAAACTCCAGCACCCCAAACCCCGGCCCCTGAAATCCTGGACCCCCAAAGCCCTGGACCCCAAAATCCCGGCCCTCTGAAATCCTGGACCCCAAAACTGCCATGGTCCTCTGTCCCCATCCCACGGTCCCCTGTCCTGGGTTTCCATCCCATGGTCCCCCTGTCCCCTGTCCCCATCCCACGGTCTCCCTGTCCCCATCCCCACGATCCCTGCCCCTGGGCTCCATCCCACGATCCCCTGTCCCCATCCCATGTCCCTGTCCCCTGTCCCCATCCCACGATCCCCCTGTCCTCATATTCCCCATCCCCATGTCCCCCTGTCCTCCATCCATGATCCCTATGTCCCCATATCCCATCCCATGATCCCCCTGTCCCCCTAGTCCCCATCCCATGATCCCCCTGTCCCCATATCCCCATCCCATGTCCCCCTGTCCCCATCCCATGTCCCCTGAGCTCCATCCTGTGATCCCCCTGTCCCCTGAACTCCATCCCTATTCATCCTGTCCCCCTGTCCCCATCCCATGTCCTCTGAGCTCCATCCTGTGACTCCCTGTCCCTGAACTCCATCCCACATTCCCCTGTCCCCTGTCCCATCCCATGTCCTGAGCTCCATCCTGTGATCCCCTGTCCCCTGTCCCTACATCCCACGTCCCCTGGGCTCCATCCTGTGATCCCTCCTGTCCCCATCCCATGATCCCCCTGTCCCCATCCCATGATCCCCCTGTCCCCTGTCCCCATCCCATGGTCCCCCATGTCCCTGAGCTCCATCCTGTGATCCCCTGAGCTCCATCCCACGGTCCCCTGTCCCTGAGCTCCATCCCATGGTCCCTCTGTCCCCTGTCTCCATCCCATGATCCCCTGTCCCCATCCTCATGATCCCCTTGTCCCTGTCCCCATCCCATGGTCCCCATGATCCCATCCCATGTCCCCATATCCCCATCCCATGGTCCCCATGTCCCCTGAACTCCATCCCATGGTCCCCCTGTCCCCATCCCACGATCCCCATGTCCCCATCCCATGGCCCCTGTCCCCTGTCCCTATCCCATGGTCCCCTGTCCCCATCTCCATGGTCCCCATGTCCCTCTGTCCCCATCCCATGATCGTCCTGTCCCTGAACTCCATTCCATGATCCTCCTGTCCCCATATCCCCATCCCATGGTCCTCTGTCTCCATGTCTCTATCTCTACGATCCCTCTGTCCCATCCCATGTCCCCTGTCCCCATCCCATGATCCCTGTCCCCATCCCCTGTCCCTGAACTCCATCCCATGGTCCTCCTGTCCCCATCCCATGGTCCCCTGTCCCCATCCCATGATTCCCCATGTCCCCTGTCCCCATCCCATGTCCCTAGAGCTCCATCCCGTGATCCCCACGACCCCTGGGCTCCATCCCACAGCCTCCTGTCCCCATCCCACGATCCCCATGTCCCTGTCCCCATCTCACGTCCCTGGGCTCTATCCCATCATGCCCCATCCTTGTCTCCCATCCTACGTTCCCTCTGTCTCTCATGTCCTCCATTCCCATGTCCCCTGTCCCCATCCCATGTCCTCCCTGTCCCCTGAGGCTCCATCCCATGGTCCCCCTGTCCCCATCCCACAATCCCCCTGTCCCCATCCCATGGTCCCCCTGTCCCCTGAGCTCCATCCCATGGTCCCCCTGTCCCCCTGAACCCCATCCCACGTCCCCTGAGGTCCATCCTGTGATCCCCCTGTCCCCCTGAGCCCCATCCCAGTTCCCCCCTGCTCCATGTCCCACAGCCCTGGAGTGGATGCCGACGGGGGTGCGTGCCCTGGTGGGCACCTTCATGGGCTACTCCTACACCCTGGGGCAGTTCCTGCTGGCCGGGGTGGCCTTTGCCGTCCCCGACTGGCGCCGCCTCCAGCTCGTGGTGTCCCTGCCCTTCTTCGGCTTCTTCCTCTGCTCCTGGTGAGGGGACGGGGGGTGGGACGGGGGAAAAATGGGAGGGATGGGGAAAATGGGGTAAAATGGAGTGGAGGGGGTAAAAATGGGTAGATGGGGTAAAAATGGAGTGGGACTGGGGGAAAAATGGGGTGGGATGGGGTAAAAATGAGGTGGGACAGGGAAAATGGGGTAAAAATGGGGTAAAATGGGGATGGGATGGGATAGGGTAAAAATGGGATGGGACGGAGTAAAAATGGGGTAGATGGGATGGGATGGATGGGGTAAAAAATGGGATGGGATGGGGTAAAATGAGTGGGATGGGTAAAATAGGGTGGGGTAAAAATGGGATGGGGTGGGGTAAAATAGGATGGGGTAAAAATGGGGTGGGATGGGGTAAAAACGGGATGGGATGGGGTAAAAATGGGGTAGATGGGGTAAAATGGGGTGGATGGGGAAAAATGGGATGGGATGGGGTAAAATGGGGTGGGGTGGTAAAAATGGGGTGGATGGGATAAAAATGGGGTGGGATGGGGATGGGATGGGATGGGATGGGATGGGATGGGATGGGATGGGATGGGATGGGGTAAAGATGGGGTGAAGATGGGATGGGATGGGGTAAAATGGGATGGGGTGGGGTGGGATAGGATGGGGTAAAAATGGGGTGGGATGGGGTAAATAGGGATGGGATGGGGTAAAATGGGAGTAAAAATGGGGTGGGATGGGGTAGAAATGGGATGGGATGGGGTAAAATGGGATGGGATGGGATGAGGTAAAATGGGATGGGATGGGGTAAAATGGGATGGGATGGGGTAAAAATGGGATGGGATGGGGTAAAAATGGGATGGGATGGGGTAAAAATGGGATGGGGTAAAAATGGGGTAAAATGGGATGGGATGGGGTAAAAATGGGATGGGATGGGATGGGGTAAAATGAGGTGGGATGGGATAAAAATGGGGTGGGATGGGGAAAATGAGGGTGGGATGGGATGGGATGGGTAAAATGGGGTGGGATGGGATGAAAATGGGATGGGATGGGATGAGAATGGGTGGGATGGATGATGGGATGGGATGGGATGGGATGGGATGGGATGGGATGGGATGGAAATGGGATGGGATAAAATGAGGGATGGGTAAAATGGATGGATGGGGTAAAAATGGGGTGTAGGGTAAAATGAGGTGGATGGTAAAATGGGATGGGATGGGGTAAAATGGGGTGGATGGGGTAAAATTGGGTGGATGGGGTAAAGTGGATGGATGGGGTAAAATGGGGTGGATGGGGTAAAATGGGTGGATGGGGTAAAATGGGATGGATGGGGTAAAATGGGGTGGGTGGGATAAAAATGGGTGGATGGTAAAATGGGATGGGATGAAAATGGGGTAAAATGTGGATGGGGTGAATGGATGGGATGGGATGGGATGGGATGGGATGGGATGGGATGGGATGGATGGGATGGGATGGGATGGGATGGGATGGGATGGGATGGGATGGGATGGGATGGGGAGAACAGATGGATGGAGAACAAGAGGAGCACGGCACTGGATGGAAGGATGGACAGATGGATGGAGAGATGGACAGTGGGATGGATGGATGGAAGGATGGATGGATGGATGGATGGATGGATGGATGGATGGATGGATGGATGTATAGGATGGATGTTGGATGGATTAGATGGATGGATGGATGGATGGATGGATGGATGTTGGGATGGATGTTGGGATGGATGGATGGATGGATGGATGGATGGATGTTGGGATGGATGTTGGGATGGATGGATGGAGGGATGGATGGATGGATGTTGGGATGGATGGATGGATGGATGTTGGGATGGATGGATGGATGGATGGATGGATGGACAGATGGACAGTGGGATGGATGGATGGATGGATGGATGGATGGATGATGATGGATGGATGGATGGATGGATGGATGGATGGATGGATGTTGGGATGGATGGATGGATGGACAGTGGGATGGATGGACAGATGGACAGATGGACAGATGGATGGATGGATGGATGGATGGATGGACAGTGGGATGGATGAATGGATGGACAGATGGATGGACAGATGGACAGATGGATGGATGGATGGATGGATGGATGGAGGGATGGATGGATGGATGGGTGGATGGATGTTGGGATGGATGGGCGGATGGACGGATGGATGTTGGGATGGACAGTGAGATGGATGGAGGGATGGATGGATGTTGGGATGGATGGATGGAGGGATGGACAGATGGCCACACGGCTGCCCCGCCCAGGTGGCTGACGGAGTCGGCGCGGTGGCTCCTCATGGTGGGCCGGTCCCAGCAGGCCCTGAGGGCCCTCCAGAAGGTGGCCAAGATCAACGGCAGGAGGGAGGAGGGGGACAAGCTCGACATCCAAGTAAAAGGCTCTGGGAGGGACCCCAGGGGTGGGGGGTCTCTGGGGGTTTTATAGGGTGGGGGGATGTGAATTCCCTGTTCTGGTGCTCCTGTCCCAATATCCATCCATCCATCCATCCATCCATCCTTCTCAAAATCCATCCATTCCTCCATCCATCCATCCATTAATCCATCCCTCCCTCCAAAAATCCATCCATCCATCTGTTCATCCATCCTTCTCAAAATCCATCCATCCCTCCATCCATCCATCCATCCATCCATCATCCATCCCTCCCTCCAAAAATCCATCCATCCTTCTCAAAATCCATCCATCCCTCCCAACATCCCTCCCAACATTCCATCCTTCTCCATCACCTCCACCTCCCCACCCTCCCACGTCCCTCCCCTTCTCCTCCCACCCCTTTTCCCTCCCCATCCCAACCCAAACCCAAACCCTTCCCCTCCCCTCCTTCTTCCCCCTCCTCCCCACCTCCCAGTGAGGAGGGAGGAACCCTGAGCCCTCTCCCAGCCCAGGATCCCTCCCCAGCCCAGGATCCCTCTCCCAGCCCAGGATCCCCTCCCCAGCCCAGGATCCCCTCTCCCCAGCCCGGGATCCCCTCCCAGCCCAGGATCCCCCTCCCTTCCCTGGGATCCCCTCCCCAGCCCAGGATCCCCCTCCCCAGCCCGGGATCCCCTCCCCAGCCCGGGATCCTCTCCCAGCCTGGGATCCCCTCCCCAGCCCAGGATCCTCTCCCCAGCCCAGGATCCCCTCTCCTGCCCGGATCCTCCCAGCCCGGATCCCTCTCTTTCCCAGGATCCCCTCCCCAGCCTGGGATCCCTCCCTTCCCTGGGAGCCTCTCAGCCTGGGATCCCCCTCCCCAGCCCGGGATCCCCCTCCCTTCCCGGGAGCCCTCCCTAGCCCGGGATCCCCTCCCTTCCCCTGGGATCCCCCTCCCCAGCCTGGATCCCCCTCCCTTCCCGGGAGCCCCTCCCCAGCCCGGGATCCCCTCCCAGCCCGGGATCCCCCTCCCAGCCCAGGATCCCCTCCCTTCCCCGGGATCCCTCCCCAGCCCGGGATCCCCTCCCCAGCCCGGGACCCCCTCCCCAGCCTCATGAGCCCCCTCCCCTTCCCTGTGAGCCCCCTCCCCAGCCTGGGATCCCCTCCCCAGCCTGGGATCCCCTCCCCAGCCCGGGATCCCCTCCCTTCCCTGTGAGCCCCCTCCCCAGCCCGGGATCCCTCCTCCAGCCCATGAGCCCCTCCCCAGCCCCGTGGCCCCCTGTGCCCCCACGCAGACGCTGAGGTCGCAGATGCAGACAGAGCTGAGGGCCCCACGGAGCCTCCACCGGTGCTGGCGCTGGTGGGGACGCCGAGGCTGCGCCGCATCTCGGGCTGCCTCTGCTGCGTCTGGAATGGCCTGGGGAGGGGCTGCTGGGCCAGACTGACCCCAGACCACCCCCTACCCTAGAACCCCCAAAACAGCCCCCTAAACAGGGCAGGAATCCCCAGCCAGGGGAGGGACCCGCTCGTGGAGGGTCACCCCATCCCACCCTACAACCCCATCCCACCCTAAAGCTCCCCATCCCACCCCACAGCCTCCCAAACCACCCCAGGCCCCCATCCCACCTACAACCCCTGAACCCCCTAAAACAGCCCCCTAAACCGGGCAGGAATCCCCAGACAAGGGAGGGACCGCTGTGGAGGGTCACCCTAGCCCACCCTACAACCCCATTCCACACCCCAAACCACCCTACTCCTTCCATCCCACCCCCATCCCTCCCATCCCACCCCTACCCCCTGATCACCCCAAACAGCCCCCTCAACTGGGCAGGAATCCCCAGCCAAGGGAGGGACCCGCTCATGGAGGTCACCCCCAGCCCACCCCAAAGCTCCCCATCCCACCCCACACCCTCCCATCCCACCCCCACCCCCCAAACCACCCCACAACCCTCCCATCCCACCCCACAACCTCCCATCCCACCCCACAACCTCCCATCCCACCCCACAACCCCCATCCCACCCCACACCCCAAACCACCCCACAACCTCCCATCCCACCCCACAACCTCCCCATCCCACCCCACACCCTCCCATCCCACCCCACAACCCCCCATCCTACCCTACACCCCCATCCCACCCCACAACCCCCATCCTACCCTACACCCCCCATCCACCCC